AGGGTTTCTAACCACTGCGTACACCAATGCAGCACCCCTCACCTCTAAAGCCCAGCAATGACACCATAGCAGCGTTGGCCCCTGCTCCTAGGGTTCATCTTACCAATAACCACTGCACACGGCTCCCCTCACCTGCAAATATTACCAGTGATGACACTGAATAATGAATAATCATGATTTTGAGAGACAACGAAGAACAATGAATGATTATGCACCCAAAACATAAGTGAACACCATCGCAGGTTTGGCCAGGTCTCAAGCAGCCAGACCAAGCATGACTGCACAGTCTGCCCGAGTCTCACCTCCCTCTCGCCTCATCACTTCCTTGCTGTGAATGTTTAACCGCACGTGTAACATGCAACATGCATTCAACAGGCAGCCCCACACACACGCACACCGACACACGAAGCTTTTCCATGCATGCACGCAGCCAGCCATGCAGTGCACATGCACTTGCATATCCAACAATGCACATGGTGTTTTTATGATACACAGAACCAGCAGTGCATTGGTACTGCATGAGAGTTGTGCAACCTTTGACCCGAGTGCTCTTTAGCTGACCATCTGTAGCCATAAGATCTAGATAATTACAAGCAACCACAACCTCACTATATTGTTTCAACAGCTTACCTGGTAGCGGCAACGGTCTGCCAAAGCCGGTCCACTTGCTGATTGCACATCTTGCACAACTTCTCAAAATGCCCCTGTTTTCGTGCATCCATTGTGGTAGCATCCATATGCACACAAGCAGTGTGTATGCATAATGAATGAAGAGTAAGCCTGATAGTAGACTTGCACAGGAAAACCAAAAGTAGACAGAAGGAACGAGTAGGCATGGAAGAAAACAATGGTGCATGCCTATCACCACCCAACTCAGCACATCATCCCATCCCACCCATCTCAGCCTACAACCCAGCAGTGAGACCAGCTGTGAGGCCAGCAGTGAGACCAGCAGTGAGACCAGCCGTGAGACCAGCTGTGAGACTAGCTGTAAGACCAACTGTGAGATCTCCAGTGAGACCAGCTTTGAGACCAGCTGTGAGACCAGCAGTGAGACCAGCTGTGAGACAAGCTGTGAGACCAGCAGTGAGACCAGCAGTGAGACCAGCTGTGAGACCAGCTGTGAGACCAGCAACAGCAGTGCGACCAGCAGTGAGACCAGTAGTGAGACCAGCAGTGAGACCAGCAATGAGACCAGATGTGAAACCAGCTGTGAGACAAGCATTGAGATCCACTGTGACACCAGCTGTGAGACCGACTGTGAGACCAGCCGTGAGACAAGCTGTGACACCAGCTGTGAGACCAGCTGTGAAACCAGCTGTCAGACCAGTCGTGAGACCAGCTGTGAGACCACCAGTGAGACCACCAGTGAGACCAGCATTGGGACCAGCGGTGAGACCAGCGGTGAGACCAGCTGTGAGAACAGCTGAGAGACCAGCTGTGAGACCAGCTGTGAGACCAGCTGTGAGACCAGCACCACCAGTGAGACACGCAGTGAGACCAGCACCAGCAGTAAGACCAGCAACAGCAGGGAGACCAGCAGTAAGAACAGCAGTGAGAACAGTAGGGAGACCAGCTGTGAGGCCAGCTGTGAGACCAGCTGTGAGACCAGCCGTGAGACCAGCTGTGACACCCGCTGTGACACCAGCTAGGAGACAAGTTGTGAGACCAGCTGTCAGACCAGCTGTGAAACCAGCTGTCAAACCAGCTGTCAGACCAGCAGTGAGACCAGCAGTGGGACCAGCGGTGAGACCAGCTGCGAGACCAGCTGTGAGACCAGCTGTGAGACCAGCTGTGAGACCAGCTGTGAGACCAGCACCAGCAGTGAGACCAGCAGTGAGACCAGCACCAGCGGTGTGACCAGCAGTGAGACTGGTTGTGAGACCTGCAGTGAGAACAGCAGTGAGAACAGAAGTGAGACCATGCCTTTGGTGCCTCTGCTGGTTCACGCTGAAAAGGCTTGACGTGACGGATTTGGCTGCTCCTCAACGCTTGCCCACGTAGAAGGTAGCCTTGTGCGCTCTTCCGTACCCACGGGCTCTTCTCCGGGTTGTTCTTGAGGCGCTTCTCCATTCCTTCCATCACCTCCAGCAGATCATAGTGGTCAAAGATGTTCTCCATCTTGAAGGACCACTCAGCAAAGTTGTCACCGTTGAACTTGTCAAGGCCAAACACTCTAGGCTCATCCCTAGAGGGGCCAAGGCTAGGTTGCACGGGAGCAACGGGTGGAACTTGGTGTTGACCTTGTGCTTGGGCGTCTTCTCTACCTCCAGTACCTCTGCCACCCCCTTCCTCAGGTCTAGGCATGGTCGAAATGGCTCCAAGGGGCTCTGATACCACTGGTTATAATCATAATAGGCTCAGATGTGCCTACAATGAGAGATAGAGAGCACTGTCGGACATCCATCAGACAGCTTCAAATATTGATAACGAGCTTCTCGCTGACTCAAGTGGTTATTTGTAAGCTGGATCTGAAGCGCGTGGCGGTCCTCTATCAGCAGGAAGTTGAATCATGAAATTCCATGAAGATTTGACGACGCTATGGCGGTTTGACTTTCACGAGGTATAGCAGCCACTATTGTCTTAGAAGTACAAACTTGGCAAGAAGAATAGAGATTGAGATGGTTCCCAGCCTCTACGAGACGGGGTTCTATTGAAGGTCACTGTAGTTCAGGTCAGCTCGTTCGAGCCGCGTCAACAAGTCGAAGAATTTCTGCACTCCTTCCTCCACCGGTTCGCCTTCCCCTATTGGAAGTGCCGCCATTTGCCGCTCCAAAACCACAGCCACCGCCGCTGTTGCAGTAGCGTGTACACCCTTGAGAGCAGCCCATACCTTTGGTCCCTCTGCTGGTTCACGCTGAAAAGGCTTGATGTGACGGATTTGGCTGCTCCTCAACGCTTGCCCAAGTAGAAGGTAGCCTTGTGCGCTCTTCCGTACCCACGGGCTCTTCTCCGGGTTGTTCTCGAGGCGCTTCTCCATTCCTTCCATCACCTCCAGCAGATCATAGTGGTCAAAGATGTTCTCCATCTTGAAGGACCACTCAGCAAAGTTGTCACCGTTGAACTTGTCAAGGCCAAACACTCTAGGCTCATCCCTAGAGGGGCCAAGGCTAGGTTGTACAGGAGCAATGGGTGGATCTTGGTGTTGACCTTGTGCTTGGGCGTCTTCACTGCCTCCAGCACCTCTGCCACCCCCTTCCTCAGGTCTAGGCATGGTCAAAACGGTTCCAAGGGGCTCTGATACCACTTGTCATAAATAATAGTAGGCTTAGATGTGCCTAAAATGAGAGATAGAGAGCACAGTTGGATTTCCGTCAGACGGCTTCAAATACTGATACCGTTCTGCTCTACCACTCAAATGGTGATCTGTAAGTTGGATCAAGAGCGCGTTGCTGTCGTCTATCAGAGCAAGTTGAATCATAAAATTCCATGAAGTTTTGACGACGCTATGACGGTTTGACTGGCAAGAGGTATAGCAGCCACTATTGTCTTAGAACTAAAAACTTAGCAAGAAGAATCCAGATTGAGATGGTTCCCAGCCTCTACATACCCCAAGAGCCGAGGTCCAGGTTGGTGGTACCCCACCAGAGAGTCCCCAACCACGAGGAGACTCGAAACAAACCCAGCAAGGGGCTACACCAAGTGAAATGTAACACTACACAAAGTAGCATTACTATTCCCACAATTTTAATATATATCCATGTCCCTTGGGCTTGAAATCTTCAACTCTTGGTCTTGGTTCTGCAAGATAAATTCTTCTTGAGTTGATGAGGGCTGGCTGCTCACACCTGCGACGTGGTGGACACTTCACACACGACAAAATAGAAAAGCACATGCGACGCGCAAATGACGACTTGACATGCGAGTAGTGAAAACGTGCTAATGTTTTGACCGACAGACACCACATTGTGAGACACCATTCAAGCACACACACACGCCCTAGATAGCAATTGGTAGAATATTCTCCCTTCATTCTATTAGCCTTCATCGTTTCATTGTCTTAGGTACTTATACACACAAGTTGGGGGTTGGGTTCCCAACGTTGTTGGGTTCCCAAATTGGTTGGGCTCCCAATTATTGGAACCCCCAATTATCCCAACCAAGATTATTGGACCCACCAATAATCTTGGCTAGGATCATTGGACCCCCAATAAGTTGGCCAACTCAACTTATTGGGGTCACCAATAATCGTGGTAACCTCCCAAGCAAAACCCCCCCTCCCTCCTACTCCTCACCTATGTATACCCACGCTTTTCCTAATACAATCATCACTTGAGTTTGTCACATGGTTTCAGAGCTTATGGCTCACGCCTCTCCGTGGTTCGATCCCTAGCCACGTCGCGCCCAACGCGCCCCTCCCCGCGCCCTTAAGCGCCCCTCTCCGCGCCTTTAAGCGCCCCTTCCCGCGCCCATAAGCGCCCCTCCCCGCGCCCATAAGCGCCCCCCCCCGCGCCCTTAAGCGCCCCTCCTCGCGCCCTTAATCGCTACGTTTTCGCGCGGCGCTCTTGGCGCCTCTCGACGCGGCGCTCCTGCCGCCTCTCGACGCGGCGCTCCTGCCGCATCTCGACGCGGCGCTCCTGCCGCATCTCGACGCGGCGCTCCTGCCGCATCTCGACGCGGCGCTCCTGCCGCATCTCGACGCGGCGCTCCTGCCGCATCTCGACGCGGCGCTCCTGCCGCATCTCGACGCGGCGCTCGGCCGCATCTCGACGCGGCGCTCGGCCGCATCTCAACACGGGCACTCGGTCGCATTTCGGCACGACGTTCCGCCGCAATTTGACCCGGCGCTCCCGCACCATCTTGACGCGGCCCTCCCGCCATATTTCGATACGCCGTCTCCTCTGCACTCCGTCGCCTCCTCCCCCTTTGTGCAGTCCCGGCGCCCCCGCCTAACAAGCGGGATTCAGCCGGGCTGACCTCTGTGCCGGCGTGCACCGCACGCAACTGCCCACAGCTGCCGATCGTCGCAATCCGCGCTGGCCGTCGCCTTTCGCGTCGGTGCCCGCCAAAGGTTGCGCGTCGCGGCGACTTAAGAGCTGCGCTCCACGCACCCGCCTTTTTCCTCCTCCCCCCCCCCCTTCCTCCCTCCCTTCCTCTCCTCCTCCCCCCTTCCTCCCTCCCTTCCTCTCCTCCTCCCCCCCCCTTCCTCCCTCCCTTCCTCTCCTCCTCCCCCCTTCCTCCCTCCCTTCCTCTCCTCCTCCCCCCCCCCTTCCTCCCTCCCTTCCTCTCCTCCTCCCCCCCCCCCTTCTCCCTCCCTTCCTCTCCTCCTCCCCTCTTCCTCCCTCCCTTCCTCTCCTCCTTCCCCACCAACAGCAGCAGCCGCACCCTCCCCCCCCCCCCCCCCCCCCAATCAGCCGCAGTCGCCGCATCAGCAGCCGCCGCCGCACCCTCCACCGCCCTCCACCTCCTCCCCACTCCCCTCATCAGCCGCAGCAGCCGCATCTCCCCCCTCCACCTCCTCCTCCTCCCCTTCCTCCCCCACCAGCGGCAGCAGCCGCCTCATCTGCAGCAGCCGCACCATCAGCAGCAGCCGTATTTCGCCCCCTCCCCTCCATCCTCCTTCTCCCCTCTCCCCTCATCCCCAGCAGCAACAGCATCAGCACCCGCAATTGCACCATGACCACCGAAGCACTCGCCGTCGACATCTCCACCATCGACGTCCTCGAGCTCATCGACAACGCTGTCCCTGTCAACTGGGCTACCTTTGCCCAAAGCCTCACAAATGTCCTCGGATCCGCAATCATCAACGATTACTGCCTCCTCGACATTCTCCTTGGCACTGACGCAGGGCAGCCCCCAGAGCGTCCTGCTGATGTCTCCCCTGCACCTCCCGCCCCACCTCCACCCCCCTCGGAACCGGCCCCCACCAAGCCCTCCCCACTGGTCTACACCGATGACCCTGATCGATGGGCTCGCGTGCAGCACAAGTATGACAAGGACTTTGCGAAGTACACTCTCCTCTAGCACGCGTATGACGCAAAGCAAGCTGCGCACGACGCTGCCAACACACTTCTCCAGCAGCACAAGGACGCCACGGCTAAGTATGCTGACGACTTTCGTGAGTACCGTCGTCGCCACTCTGCCTGGAACATTGCCAACCGCAAATGTCTCGCTATCCTGTCTGCATGCGTTCCTTCCTCCCTCAAACGCGAAATAACCCCCTCCTCCGCTCCCGAGTTCTGGAAAGAGCTATGTGCCACCTATGACCTCCAGGACACCAACTCTCTCCTAGCGCTCCACCGCGCCTTCCTCGACATCAACCTCGACTCCTGCCCCAACGCCCTCTCCTTCACGCGCCGCCTCCTCACCACTGCCAAACGCCTTGCCGATCGTCGCTCTCCCCTTCCCGACTCCCTCATCATTTGTCGCCTCCTCGACGGTCTCACACCCATGTACGAGGCCCGTCGCGTGGCGTTCAATGAGGTTCACGCCAGCTTCCCACCTGACTCCGCCTATGTAGCCGCATGGATTCTGAAAACTGAAGCGGAGCTTCTCCGCCAGTCTCCTCCAACGGCTCATGCTACCCAAGCAAAAGGAGGACGTGGTGCCGGCCGTGGCGGTACTTCGGCGGGACGATCGGGTGGTGGACGTGGCGGGGGGCGCAGTGGAGGACGCGGGGGTAGCAGTGGTTCCAACAGCACCGGCGGCTTCTCCCCATGTCAGTATCTCATCCGCAACGGCCCCAACAAGGGTAAGCGCTGCCTCCAAACCACCCATGCCACCACCACATGTTTCAAGGCCCTCACTGATGAGTGGCTTGATCGAGGCAACACGGGCACGCCCCCTCGCTGGTCCGCTATCACTCCACCTCCCACTCCCTTTGATGTTCGTACCCTCCCCGCCTATCAGCCCTCCTCTACCTCTCTCCACCACATCCTCGCACAGCACCTCCCTCCACAGATCCTCCAGCACGTCACGCCCCTCCTTCCGTCCCCACAGCCGCAGCAGACTCAGCAGCCGCAGCAGATCCAGCAGCCGCAGCAGTCCCACCAGCAGCCGCAGCAGCTCCTGCAGCAGCTCCTCCAGCAGCTGCAACAATCTCAGCAGCACCAGCAGTCTCAGCAGCAAACCTCCCCTCCCTCCGCCTGGAGCTCCGGCCTCTCTGCTCCTGCTCCTCTTGTGCAGGCCCCCACCAAACCTCCTGGCTTTACCCCATTTCCCTCTCCTGGCTTCATCAACCATGTTAGCCATGCTTCTCCTGCTATTCCTCCAATGTATCCCGAGTCTATTAATGAAACCTCCTTCCAGTACTCCGTGTCTCACCCCACCCCTCCTTCCATTGAGTTTGTCATTGACAGCGGCGCCAGTGTCACAGTCCTTCGTAACGCTGGTGCCCTCACCCCCCTCCCTAACCCCTCCACCATCATTGGAGCCGATTCTACTTTCTCGGTCACCTCCCGCCATACCTCCACTCTTCCCTGCCCCCTCTTCCCCTCAGGTTCAGTAACTGGCTTCCATGTCCCCTCCCTTCGCACTAACCTTGTCTCCCAAGGTGCACTTCAACGGGCCGGGGTCACAACAATCTACCCCGGCCACGCCACCCACTGCGACCTGTTTCACTCCTCCACGGGTCATTTCATCGTCCGTGTTCCCATGTGTCCTCGCACTCGCATGAACACCCTTCACACTCCCCGTCCGTCAGCCTGTCACACTGCCTCCACCATCCCTCCCCTCCCCCCTCCTCTCTTTCCTCCGCAACCTCCCCCCACCTCCCCTCCCGCCCCTCCTGCTCCCCCCCCATCTCAGTGCCATTGTCGTGATCTTACACATCCTGCCATCCTCCTCCATCACCGCCTAGGTCACCCCAACTTTGCCACCCTCCACAAGGCCGTCGCCTCCGGGCTCCTCAATGGCCTTCCCCTCACTCCCCCTCCACTCCTTCTCTTCCCTGCCCCCCCTTGCACCATCTGTGTCCAGAGCAAGCTCAAGCAACTTCCTCATAAAAGTCACCCTTCTTGCGCCCTAGAGCTCCTGGATCTTGTCCACATGGATCTTGTCCACATGGATCTCTGGGGCCCCAACCCCTCCCCCACCCGTCAAGGGCACCGCTACCTTCTTCGTCCTGGTCGATGACCGCTCACGATACACCTCGGTCTCCCTCCTTCGCACGAAGGCCGAGGCACCGGCCTTCATCATCGCCTGGGCCGAGCAGGCGCGCACCCACTTCGGTCGTCCCATTCGCCGCTTCCATTCCGATGGCGGCGGTGAATTCCTCAATCACCATCTCTCTTCCTATTTCTCCACCCATGGTATTCACCACACTTACACCCTCTCTCACTCCCCTCAGCAGAATGGCATGGCAGAAGCTCGTGTTCGAGAAGTTACAAAGACCGCCAGGTGTCTTCTCGTTCACGCCTCCTGCCCGCCTTCTCTCTGGGGTTATGCTCTTCTCCACGCCGTCCTCCTCACTAACCTGTATCCCCACCCTCTCCTCCCCTCCACCACCCCCACTGAGCTGTGGATGTCAACTAAACCCGACGTCTCCCCCCTGCGCGTTTGGGGTTCCAGGGCATATGTTCTCATACACCCGGCCGACCGCTCACGCACAGCAGGGAAGCTCGCCTCCAAGAGTCTACCCTGTGTATTCCTTGGTCACAACACCTCCTCCCCTGACTACGTGTTCCTTCATCCCCCCTCAGGTCGCCTCATTCGTAGTCGGGACGTCATCTTTGACGAATCCTCCCCGTACTACACCTCTCCTACCTCACCTGACCCACTCACCATTCCTCCTCGCCCCTTTATCCCCTCTGACACTGTCACCCCCCCCTCCTCCCCCCTCTCCCTCTTATTCCCCCACCCCCAGCTCCTCCTCCTCCCGAATCTGCTCCCTCCTCGTCTTCCTCAGGTGACATCCTTGACCTAGTAATCCCCCCCTCTCCCTCTCACTCCGCTTCCGCTCCATCCCCCCCTTCTCCCCACCTCCTCCCCCTCCACCTCCTTCCCCCCTCCTCCCCCATCTCCCCCACCTCCTCCTCCACCCCCCCAGGTGTCTTCTCCCCTTGTCCTTCGCCACCGCCCTCATACTCGGTCCATGGATCCCCTCTTTGGTCCGCCCTTAGCCCTTCCCTCCCCTCAGGCGAAGGCACCCGCTCCAGCACCCTCTGCTTCCACCTCTGCTTCCGCCGCCGCAGCTCCCGCCGCCGCACCTGTGCCTGCCCCGGTCGCCGCACCCGCAGCGTCAGGATCCGCCGCAGCAGTGGCCCCGGTCAAGCAGCCATACAGCCGAGTCGCAGAGTCGCCGTGTCGCAGCCTCCCCCCTCAGCAGCGCAGCAGACTTGCAACACCACCCTCCCTTCCTCCTCCTTTCTCTCCCCTCCTCATCGAAGACTCCCATGGTGAATTTGTTCGCCTCCACCTCTTCTCCAACACCCAAGTAGTCGCCTTCAGCATGACCAGCGCCCCGGTACTTGTCTTCTCCGGCGCGCCCATCATCTTCGAGCCGGGAGATTATCACGAAGCTATGACATGCCCCGACCACCCTCATTGGGGCAAGGCAGTCCTCAAAGAGAATGAGGCCTTTGTCCGCAACGGCACCTGCATCGACGTACCCCGCCCTCTCAACCACAACATGGTCAAAGGCAAATGGGTATTTCGGGTCAAGCTCCTCCCTGGCGACGACCCGGTCTATAAGGCTCGATACTGTGCCAAAGGATTCACGCAGCGGTACAACCATGACTTCCTTGACACCTACTCGCTGACCGCCACTCCCCCTGTCGTGCGCTTGTTCTTGGACTTCGTCGGCCGGCGCGGAATGATCCTGCACTCGATGGATGTCACCACGGCATTTCTCCAAGATGAACTCCATGAGCGCATCTTCATGGAGCGTCCCGAGGGCTAGCACCTCCCTTTCCCTCCCAACACCGTTTGGGAACTTTGCCGCCCGGAATACAGCCTCAAGCAGGCTCCTCGGGAATGGCATGCCAAGCTCTCGAGCACTCTCCGTGCTCTTGGTTTTCGCCCACCCTCCTCAGCTCACCGGCTATTGCGACTCCTCTTGGGCGGATTCTCAGCCCTATCGTCGCAGCTCACAGGGGTATGGTTTCTCCCTCGGGAGCGGCCTCATTTCCTGGCGCTCCACCCGCTCCTCCTCGATAGCTCTCTCCTCCTGTGAAGCAGAGCTCTACGCCGTCACCATGGCGGCCCAGGAGGCGCGGTGGCTCAGCTTCCTCCTTGCTGAGCTGGATGCTCCCTAGCCCTGTCCCACCATCTGGTGCGACAATGCCAGTACTATCAACCTCACAAAGGAAGCCGTTTTCCATGGTCGCTCCAAACACATCGAGCTCCGACACTACTTCGTTCGTGAGCTCGTCCAGGCTGGACACCTCACCGTGCGCAAGATTGACTCTTCAGCCAACCTTGCAGACATCTTCACCAAGGCCCTCCCTCGTCGTCCCCATGCGGCTCTCCTTCGCCTTCTGGGTCTTGCCCCTCCCTCACAGGGGACTACCTGATTCAGGGGTTGCTTCTCCTCACCTTCCCAAGACTTATGGCACTATGTAGGCTAAGGGGTTGTGTTAGAATATTCTCCCTTCATTCTATTAGCCTACATCGTTTCATTGTCTTAGGTACTTATCAGCACCCCACTAGGGGTGTATACACCCAAGTTGGGGGTTGGGTTCCCAACCTTGTTGGGTTCCCAAATTGGTTGGGCTCCCAATTATTGGAACCCCCAATAATCCCAACCAAGATTATTGGACCCACCAATAATCTTGGCTAGGATCAATGGACCCCCAATAAGTTGGCCAACTCAACTTATTGGGGTCACCAATAATCGTGGTAACCTCCCAAGCAAAACCCCCCCTCCCTCCTACTCCTCACCTATGTATACCCACGCTTTTCCTAATACAATCATCACTTGAGTTTGTCACAGCAATGACATATTCTCACAAGTCATTCCATGCCATGCATGCACACACCCGAACAAGGACGACAAGCCGAGTGCTAGCTGTAGGGTTGCACCAACAGCTGTGAGACCAGCTCTGAGACTAGCTGTGAGACTAGCTGTGAGGCCAGCTGTGAGACCAGCTGTGAGACCAGCTGTGAGACCAGCACCAGCAGTGAGACCAGCAGTGAGACCAGCAGTGAGACCAGCAGTGAGACCAGATGTCAGACCAGCTCTGAAACCAGCCGTGAGACCAGCTGTGACACCAGCTGTGACACCAGCTGTGACACCAGCAGTGAGACCAGCTGTGAGACCAGCTGTGAGACCAACTGTGAGACCACCAGTGAGACCAGCATTGACACCAGCTGTGAAACCATCTGTGATACCAGCTATGAGACCAGCTGTGGGCCCAGCTGTGAGACCAGCTGTAACACAAGCTTTGAGACCAGTTGTGAGACCAGCTTTGAGACCAGTTGTGAGACCAGCAGTGAGACCAGCACCAGCAGTGGGACCAGCAGTGAGACCAGCAGTGAGACCAGATGTGAGACCAGCTGTGAGACCAGCCTTGAGACCAACTGTGACACCAGCTGTGAGACCAACCGTGAGACCAGCTGTGACACCATCTGTGACACCAGCAGTGAGACCAGCTGTGAGACCAGCAGTGAGACCAGCTGTGAGACCAGCCCTGAGACCAACTGTGGGACCACCAGTGAGACCAGCTGTGAGACCAGCTGTGAGACCAGCTGTGAGACCAGCTGTGAGTCCAGCTGTGAGACCAGCACCAGCAGTGAGACCAGCAGTGAGACCAGCACCAGCAGTGAGACCAGCAGAGAGACCAGTTGTGAGGCCAGCAGTGAGAACAGCAGTAGAACAGCAGTGAGACCAGATGTGACACCAGCTGTGAGACCAGCCGTGAGACCCACTGTGAGCCCAGCTGCGAGACCTGCTGTGAGACCAGCTGTGAGCCCAGCTGCGAGACCAGCTGTGAGAACAACTGTGAGACCACCAGTGAGACCAGCTTTGAGACCAGCTGAGAAACCATTTGTGATACCAGCTGTGAGACCAGCTGCGAGCCCAGCTGTGAGACCAGCTGTAACACCAGCTTTTAGACTTGCTGTGAGATCATTCGTGAGACCAGCGGTGAGACCAGCTGTGAGACCAGCGGTGAGACCAGCAATGAGACCAGATGTGAAACCAGCTGTGAGACCAGCCTTGAGACCAACTGTGGGACCAGCTGTGAGACCAGCTGTGAGACCAGCTGTGAGATCAGCCGTGAGACCAGCTGTGACACCAGCTGTGAGACCAGCTGTGAGACCAGCTGTGAGTCCAGCTGTGAGACCAGCACCAGCATTGAGACTCGCAGTGAGACCAGCACCAGCAGTGAGACCAACAGTGAGACCAGTTGTGAGACCAGCATTGAGAACAGAAGTGAGACCAGCAGTGAGACCCGCTGTGAGTCCAGCTGTGAGACAAGCTGTTAGCCCAGCTGTGAGACTAGCTGTGAGCCCAACTGTGAGACCAGCTGTGAGACCAGCTGTGAGACCTGCACCAGCATTGAGACCAGCAGTGAGACCAGTTGTGAGATCAGCAGTGAGACCAGCAATGAGACCAGATGTGAAACCAGCTGTGAGACCGACTATGAGACCGGCTGTGAGACCAGCCGTGACACAAGTTGTGACACCAGCTGTGACACCAGCTGTGAGACCAGCTGTCAGACCAGTCGTGAGACCAGCTGTGAGACCAGCTGTGAGACCAGCAGTGAGACTACCAGTGAGACCAGCATTGGGACCAGCGGTGAGACCAGCGGTTAGACCAGCTGTGAGACCAGCTGTGAGACCAGCTGTGAGACCAGCTGTGAGACCAGCAGTGAGAACAGCAGTGAGAACAGCAGTGAAGCCAGATATGAGACCAGCTGTGACACCAGCTGAGAGACCAGCGGTTAGATCTGCAGTGAGACCAGCTGTGAGACCTGTTGTGAGATCAGCAGTGAGACCAGCAGTGAGACCAGCAGTGAGACCAGCTTTGAGACCAGTTTTCAGACCAGCAGTGAGACCAGTTTTGAGACCAGCAGTGAGACCAGCTCTAGCAGTGGGGAAAGCAGTGAGACCAGTAGTGAGACCATCATTGATACCAGCAGTGAGACCAGATGTGAGACCAGCTGTGAGCCCAGTCTGAGACCAACTGGGACACCAGCTGTGAGACCAACTGTGAGACCAGCTATGACACCGGCTGTGGCAACACCTGTGAGACCAGCTGTGAGGCCAGCAGTGAGACCAGAAGTGAGACCAGCAGTGGGACCAGCTGTGAGACCAGCTGTGAGACCAGCACCAGAAGTGAGACCAGCAGTGAGACCAACACCAGCAGTGAGACCAGCAGTGAGACCAGTTGTGAAACCAGCAGTGAGACCAGCAGTGGGAACAGCAGTGAGACCAGATGTGACACCAGCTGTGAGACCAGCCGTGAGACCAGCTGTGACACCAGCTGAGAGACCAGCTGTGAGACCAGCTGTGAGACCAGTTGTCAGACCAGTGGTTAGAACAGCAGTGAGACCAGCTGTGAAACCTGTCGAGAGACCAGCAGTGAGACAAGCAGTGAGACCAGCAGTGAGAACAGCAGTGAGACCAGCCCTGAGACCAACTGTGAGACCACCAGTGAGACCAGCTGTGAGACCAGCTGTGAGACCAGCTGTGAGACCAGCTGTGAGTCCAGCTGTGAGACCAGCACCAGCAGTGAGACCAGCAGTGAGACCAGCACCAGCAGTGAGACCAGCAGTGAGTCCAGTTGTGAGACCAGCAGTGCGCCCAGCAGTGAGACCAGCAGTGGGGCCAGCACTGAGACCTGCTGTGAGACCAACTGTGATACAAGCAGTGATACAAGCTATGAAACCATCTGTGATACCAGCTGTGAGACCAGCCGTGGGCCCACCTGTGAGACCAGGTGTTACCCTAGCTTTGGAACAGCTATAAGACCAGCAGTGAGACCAGTTGTTAGACCAGCTGTGATACCATCAGTGAGACCAGCCTTAAGACCAGCCTTGAGACCAACTGTGAGACCAGCTGTGAGACCAGCTGTGACATCAGCTGTGACACCAGCTGTGAGTCCCGCTGTAAGACCAGCTGTGAGACCACCAATGAGGCCAGCAGTGAGTCCACCAGTGGGACCAGCGGTGACACCAACAGTGAAACCAGAAGTGATACCAGCTGTGAGACCAGCTGTGAGACCAGCTGTGAGACCAGCTGTGAGACCAGCACAAGCATTAAGACTAGCAGTGAGACCAGCACCAGCAGTGAGACCAGCAGTTAGACCAGTTGTGAGACCAGCAGTGAGAACAGCAGTGAGAACAGCAGTGAGACCAGATGTGAGACCAGCTGTGAGACCAGCCGTGAGACCAGCTGTGACACCAGCTGAGAGTCCAGCTGTGAGACCAGCCATGAGACCAGCTGTGACACCAGCTGAGAGACCAGCTGTGAGACCAGATGTGATATCAGCTGTGAGACCAGTGGTTAGAGCTGCAGTCAGACCAGCTGTGAGACCTGTTGTGAGACCAGCAGTGAGGCCAGCAGTGAGTCGACCAGCCCTGAGACCAGCAGTAAGACCAGCCGTGAGACCAACTGTGAGACCACCAGTGAAACCAGCTTTGAGACCAGCAGTGAGACCAGCTGTGAGACCAGCTGTTAGCCCAGCTGTTGGACCAGCTGTGAGACCAGCAGTGATACGAGCTGTGACTCCAGCTGTAACACCAGCTGTGACACCAGCTGTGAGACCAGCTGTGAGACCAGCGGTGAGACCAGCTGTGACACCCACTGTGACACCAGCTGTGAGACCAGCATTGAGACCAGCTGTCGGACCAGCTGTGAGACCAGCTGTGAGACCAGTAGTGAGACCAGCTGTGAGACCAGCTGTGAGTCCAGCTGTGAGACAAGCTGTGAGGCCAGCTGTGAGACCAACTTTGAGACCAGCTGTGACACCAGCTGTGACACCAGCTGTGACACCAGTTGTGAGACCAGCACTGAGACCAGCACCAGAAGTGAGACCAGCAGTGAGACCAGAAGTGAGACCAGCAGTGAGACCAGCAATGAGACCAGATGTGAGACCAGATGTGAGACCAGCAATGAGACCAATTGTGAAACCAGCTGTGAGACCGACTATGAGATTGACTGTGAGACCAGCCGTGAGACCAGCTGTGAGACCAGCTGTGAGACCAGCTGTGAGACCAGCTGTGAGACCAGCTGTGAGACCAGCAGGGAGACCAGCAGTGAGACCAGCAGTGGGACCAGTGGTGAGACCAGCCGTGAGACCAGCTGTGAGACCAGCTGTGAGACTCGCTGTGAGACCAGCAGTGAGACCAGCTGTGAGACCAGCTGTGACACCAGCTGTGACACCAGCTCTGAGTCCAGGTGTGAGACCAGCACCAGCATTGAGACCCGCAGTGAGACCAGGACCAGCAGTGAGACCAGCAGTGAGACCAGTTGTGAGACCAGCAGTGAGAGCAGCAGTGAGAAAAGAAGTAAGACCAGCTGTGAGACCAGCTGTGAGACCAGCTGCGAGACCAGCTGAGAGACCAGCTGTGAGACCAGCTGTGAGACCAGTTCTGAGA